GACCCTAAGGAAGAGATCATCAACTCCTTCAGTGACCATTTGGAGTTATATGGTAGGACTCTTCGCCAGATGGATACTGGTCCTAATCCTTCTACCTCTTTTGCATCTGCTTCAGGTAACACTGCCACTGCCTTCCATGTGTCATCTCGTACCTCTGATTCCCCTTGGGTAACCGACTCCGGAGCCTCAAACTACATGACCGGTAAGTCAAATTTATTTCAGGCATACAATCTTCTCTCTGGGAGAGATAAGGTGAGACTAGCTGATGGTTCTTTCTCCACCATAGCCAACCAAGGAACCATATCTCTCCCACTCGGCCTTACCCTTTCTAACGTACTACATRYTCCTAARYTACCTATAAATYTGCTTTCYATTAGTAGTATTACTCACTCCTTGAACTGTTCAGTTACTTTCTATCCGTCTTCATGTGTGTTTCAGGATTTGGCCTCGGGGAAGACGATGGGTAGAGGAAGCATGGTGGATGGCCTCTACGTGTTAGAGAATAAAGCTAGTGTTGTGGCTACAGAGTCCTTGAGTTCGTCCAGTGAGAATCAAGCCTATTATGGCATAATCATCTTGGTCATCTTTCTTTTGAGTCGTTAAAAGTTATGTTTCCAAAGTTGTTTGAGTCTTTGTCAGTGAGTCAGTTGCAGTGTCAGACATGTCAATTGAGTAAACATTGTAGGAGCACTTTTCCTTTGAGAAATAAAAGATCTGAATTTCTGTTTCATATTGTTTATTTTGATGTTTGGGGCCCTATTACTCTACCTAATGAGTCTGGATATAAGGACTTCATTACCTTGATCGATGATTACTCTAGATACACCTGAGTTTACCCTATGCGATCTAGAGAGGAAGTGCCTAAAGTTGTGAAAGACTTTCAATGCATGGTGTTCACTCAGTTCCGAACTGAAATCCATATTTTCCAGTTGGACAATGCAAAGGAATACTTCCAYAGTGATCTCACGGAATTCTTTGCTTCGAGTGGATCTCTTCAACGAAGCTCTTGTGCTAGGACACCTCAACAAAACGGTGTTGTTGAAAGAAAAAACCATCATCTTCTTGAAGTAGCTTGTGGCTTGTTAATCCATATGAATGTTCTGAAACACTTTTGGATGGATGTTGTTCTGTGTGCTACGTACATCATCAACCGTATGCCTTCGCGGCTACTAGAGTATAAGGCCCCACATCAGCTTTTGTTTCCTACAACTCCATTGTTCCCATTCCAATGCATGTTTTTGGGTGTCGTTGCTTTGTTCATAACTTGCCACCTACTTGGGGTAAACTTGATCCTCGTGCTATTCCTTGTGTCTTCCTTGGTTACCCTCTATCTCAAAAGGGGTACCGTTGCTATGATCCCGTCTCTCATAAGTACTATGTCTCAATAGATGTGTCCTTTGAGAATCAACATTTCTTCTCGGTTTCTCCTCAAGGGGAGAGTAGGGTTGAGGAGAAACAGGCTCAGGCTCAGACTCAACTACCTCCTCTACCTGACCCTCCTCCATTTCGTGTCTTTCTTCGCCGCCACAAAAGTCAGCAAAGTTCAAGAGCCGTGGAACCTGACACTATGCAACCAACATCATCGGCTTCACCGGAGGTTGATCCTTCCCATCAGCCAGGTACACTTGCTTCTATTTATATGCCTGCTCCTCTCAATGTTGATTCCCCTATCATTAATGATCTTGATGTTCCTATTGCTAAGAGAAAGGGTGTTATATCTTGTACCACCAACCATCCTATCTCACTTTGTGTTATACGATCATATTTCATCTTCATATCGTACATTCCTCTCCTCTGTTGACAGTATCCCTGTTCCTAAGAATGTGGCAGAAACTTTATCCAAACCTGAATGGACAGATGCAATGAAGGGAGAGGTTGATGCATTACACAAAAATAGCACTTGGGAGTTGGTGGATCTTCCTGAAGGGAAGGAACCAGTGGGGTGCAAGTGGGTGTTCATAGTGAAACACAAGGCTAATGGAACTGTTGAAAGGTACAAGGCCAGACTGGTGGCAAAAGGTTTTACACAAGTATATGGAGTGGACTATGCAGAGACTTTTGCCCCAATAGCCAATATGAACTCTATCAGAAATCTCCTTTCACTGGCGGCAAATCTTGACTGGGAACTTCACCAATTGGACATAAAAAATGCTTTCTTGAACGGTGACTTAGAAGAGGAAGTGTACATGACCCAACCTCTAGGTTTTTGTGCTAAAGGCAATGAATAGAAAGTGTGCAAGTTAAAAAAATCTTTATATGTGTTGAAACAATCTCCCCGGGCCTGGTTTAGTAAGTTCCACTTAGCAATTCAACAGATGGGGTTCAAACAATGCCAGTCAGATCACACATTATTTGTAAAGAAAGGTAAAAGGAAAATTGCAGCTCTAATTGTGTATGTGGATGATATAGTGATCACAGGAGATTGGAAGGCTGAAATACAAAGACTAAAAAAGTTCTTAGCCACTCAATTTGAGTTGAAAGATCTAGGCCCCTTACGTTATTTCCTTGGAATTGAAGTTGTCCGCTCTTACAAGGGCATCTTTATTTCCCAACGGAAATATGTACTAGATCTACTAGAAGATATAGGCAAACTGGGGGTGAGACCAATTGACTCACAATTGAACCTAACCATCATCTTGGGAGACAGTCAGGGAGAGTTCTTGAAAGATGTGAAGAAGTTTTAGAGACTTGTAGGGAGACTCTTGTATTTGTCTATGACCAGGCCTGATATTGTTTATGCAGTGGGTGTCCTTAGTCAGTTCATGCACAATCCCAACTCACCTTGAAACTGTAGAGAAGATCCTCAGATACCTCAAGAAGTTTCCTAGAGCTGATTTGCTGTTCCAGAAACATGGACATTTAAAGGTGGAGGTATATACTGATGCTAATTGGGTAGGGGCAGTTGATGACCGAAAGTCTACCAGTGGATATTGTGCCTTTGTAGGGGGAAACCTAGTCACATGGAGAAGTAAGAAGTAAAGTGTGGTGGCTAGGTCTAGTGTTGAAGCAGAATATAGAGCTATGTCTCATGGGGTTGCTGAAATCATGTGGATAAGAAATCTGTTAGGAGAACTGGGTTTTACAGTTAGCAACCCTATATCACTTTATTGCGACAATAAGGCTGCTATCAACATTGCAGCTAATCTAGTCCCCCATGATAGGACGGAACACATTGAAGTGGACAATCATTTTATTAGAGAGAAACTTGTAAGTGGAGAAGTGTGCACCCCATATGTCCGCTCAGAAGAACAACTTGCAGATATCTTTACCAAAGGTCTTCATCATGTGCAGCATAATGATTTGTGTGACAAGTTGGGCATGATTGACATCTATGTTCCAACTTGAGGGGGAGTGTTGAAATAATTGATTTATGTTTTTAATCAGCCTTTTTATTTTAATCAATTATTGTACCATCACTTAGTAGGGGCACAAGGGTCATTTCCCTTCTTATTTTTTTCGCCCTATATATTATAATGAAGTTGGCGCCGCCAGCACTGTTCCATTGCCTCGACACTTCTTCTTTCTTCCTTCTCTTCTCTTTTGATGTAACCTTCAATCAGATTTACTGTCAAGAATTACCATTCAGGGTTCATACACTCACCCTCCAAAACAAGGTTTGAAAGCCAAACCCTGTGGGTGAATTCAAAAATTAGGAAGCCACATTTGCATAATAGTAAAATTTTCACCAAGAGCCTATTATGCAAGGCTAAGCTAATTCTCAAGCATCCACCAAGTCTCATCATCAACGGTGCTGTCACACAGCATCTATTGCCAAACAGCAGCTTCCATTCCATTTCCGAAGTTAACCACTTAATTGATTAGGCTCTAAATATTACCCCACAAATAATAAACTTTCTTGCCTGTCTGTGAACCACTAGCCGAAACTAACCACTTGAGAATTCTAAAGAAAATTGCCACTGTTCTCTCCCTGTACAACAGTCAACTGGGAGAAGAAAAGGTTGCAAATAAATATAAGAATCTTCAGTTCTTGTTGAAGCTCCTCTTACCAGTCAAGTTGTGTAATAGAAGCATCTTTCCTTTAAGCCCAGCAAGGACACCAAGTGAAAATATCTCATCTAGGTCATTTGCTTCTACAGTTACTTCCAGACAATAACTAAAAGATAACCGCTCTAACTATCACAAATACTGTTACTTTAATTGCAAAATTATAATCAGAAAATGGGCAACGAAAATGCTGAAGTTTGAACCATCAGGTTAATACTTGAAAATCAGGATCAAATGAAGGGTGTCAAGCACTTTACCACATCCATTCAAAATTTAGGTTAGTTATTGACCTTCAGGGAACGGGAGGATAGGATTTTATTCCATGGAGCAATCCATTAAGAATATGAGACATCCCTTGAAAAGCTATGGTAGAAGTTCAATGTTCATCCTGCAAAAACACCTCAGCACCAAGGCTCAATACCAGAAGCATGGGAATTCAATAATGGAACATTACCTGGAGCATTTTTATCTATTGCTTTACCTTATTTTGTTTCTGGGAATCATGATGGATTTTTACCTGGTATCTGTAAAAAGAAACATTAACATCACAGTAAAAGCCAATGAAAATATTGCACCTGCAACCACAGGATATAAAGTACTCAGGGTTAAGGGGCATAACATTAACCCCACCAAAAAAGTATTAAATCAGCTACTTGAAAAATCATCATCTAAGCCTTGTCCCAACTGTATGGGGTTGATTACATGAATCTTGTTTTAACACCACAACCGGGCATTGTTCTGAGTTTTGACATGTTGCTTTTGGGCAACACCCTAAACCCTAAATCAGCTACTTAAAAAATGCCTCCCAAAAAAATCTAAGTGAATGCTCCTTGGTATACTGTGAAATTCTGAAATAATGGAACTCAAACCATAATTCTTTATAGAATTTTGCCCTTCTTGTATCATCAAGTAAGGAAGACCTCCTAATGGTAACAAATAAATAGTTGGGAAAACATTTCCATAAGGAATGGAAAACAAATAACCACAATATGAGATTTCACCTGCAAGAAATTAATGCATCAAATTGATGCTCTATTATTAGAGATATAAAATATATGTACAATTGACTGTTCCCAAATTGTTCAATACTACATTGGGAGACAGTACCTAAAAATGTTGGAGCTAGGACTTAACTAGCTTGTACACAGATAAAAAAAGATCTTTACAACCAAAGTTGTCAACTAGTTACAGGAGGAGCACATCCACAGACCAAAAACTTTTGCTCCAAAATGAACTTCCACCGAGTCCTCAGATCCATAACCTACTAATCCATGCAATCAGTTTTTCATGAAAAAAGCATCTACACTTTGCTTTGCATAGTTTAACTTGTATAATGCACAAATATACATAGACGGCAATCTTAAACCATCATGTTAAAAAGGAAAGGTCATCCATTGGAATTCCAAGGCCCACAAAATCATGGTCTTGCAATCCATCGTCATCAATGTTCAACCATGAACCAAGGTCTTGGCCTTGTGCATCAAGATCATCTGGAACACCTAGTACATCCATTCCAGGTAGTGGCAGGTTGGACAAGTCAATGGCCTCAGGATCATTCAACATCTCCAAATTCAATACATCTTTCTCATTGATATTACTATCACTAGCCACTTTGTGTGGCTTGGGAACTGGAGGCAGCACTGCTTTTGGTAGCTCTGAAACCTTACCAAGGAGGCTATTCACAGAAGCAGATAACTGTGTTGTCTTCTGCTTAGGCTTTGTTTTAGATTTCCTTTCACCCTTGACATTGCCTAAAGCTGGCCGACCAATTTTAGCATTGCTATTTCTAGAAAGTACATCTCTGCTGTGCCCTTTTCCTTCTCGATCTCTTTCACTCCTCTTTCCTTTTGTACCACTTACAAGAGAACTTCCAAATCCTGATGGGTTTCTCAATGTACCAACTGTACCACCAACATCGTCGAGCAACAACTCCTTCCTTTTTACTCTATTAAACCAAGTCTCCTCTTTACCATTAGTTGGCTCAGATAAGTGATTTACCAACTGAACAGCATCGGACGAATGCTTCTCTTGTGTGTCCAAGCTCTTCCCCAAGAATGAAGTTATAGAGGCAGTTTGTTGTGAACCAATGGAAGCTGTAACCAAGACAAAATGACAATTTTTAACCAGACAGCCACCAAAAAATAAAACATGTCACTACAGCCAGAAAGAAACAAATTCATAAAACAAGCAGTAGAACACTTTAAAACCAATAAACTATATGAGATTTAAATGTAAATTAAAAACAAATGAATTATACTGTATATGCAGTCGAAAAATAATTTTCACAAAGGACAATATAGAAAGTACCTGAAACCTTAACTTCTGAAGAATGGGTGGGAGTATCAGCACATGGATTGGCTGATTCCCCCTCAGTAAGGGTTGCAGTATCCATACATTCTGCATCATTGAGGCGGGAAGAGACGGAAAGAAACAAATCCCTGAACACTGGCTCATTAAAGCAGCTCTCTCCTGTATCTTCAAACCTATGACACCGTTCTAGTGTTCGCTCTACAAAAGCTAAGGTATTATGCTTGGCCAATTTGCTGTTTGCACTTTTTCCACCAGATGTATTAGGACCGTAGTATGTCTGTCAAGTATCAATTTAATATCATTATATCCACCCTGTGCTATAAAACAAGAAGAATCACTAAAACAGAAGTCCCACACTCACAATAGCATCTTTATGGTGTAACAATTCAGGTAAACAAGATAACATGAACACTATGGGTGTTTTACTGTTAACAGTAAAATGATGCATTTTAATTGATAGTTGTGAAGAACTATATATAGAAGATGTAGTCAAGCATACAAGACAATATAAGGAAATATGAAATAGCATAGAATTGACATCAATAGAGCTATGGAAGAGAGGATAAAGGCATATAGACAACACCTGTAATTAATATTCTTGGTAAGCATGTTACCAATGTTTTAAAACGCGGAGGCATGATGCGAGGCATTCCACTACCTAGAGGCGTGAGGCATAGTTCATAACGCAAGAGGCATAAGCCTCTCGAACACAAGGATGCCATAAGCCTCCTTAAGAGAAGGGGGGTTAGGAGGAGGATGAAGAGGAAGGGGGGATCTCATTTTTTCTTTATTCTTAATAAAAAACTTTTATATTAAGAAAAATAAAGATGCATACCATTAGTTGAAAGGGGGGATCTTGTCGAAGCAGAGCAAGACCCCCCTAACTCAAAAAAACAAATTGGGATGCATCGAAAAGGGGGCGGGGGGTCTGTTCGCCCCCCAACCGAAGGGACAGGGGTCAAACCACTTTCTTTCCCCTTATCTTTTCTTCCCTTCCCTTTGCTTTTCTCTTTTTTGCTTCTCTTTCTTTTTCTTTCCCTTCCCTTTCTTTTCCTTTCTTTTCCCTTCCTTTTTTTTTCTTTTTTCTTTTTTTTTGTCTTTTTATATAAGATGTGCATGAGGCGTACGCCTCTAGCATGCCTCATGAAAAAAGCGCATGAGGTGTACACCTCTTGCACCTGAGGCGTACGCCTCAGAGGTGTCAGCGCCTCTAACATACGCCTTTTAAAACACTGCATGCTACATGTTAAACAAGGGGCTCTAGAAACCAGTTGTATTGGGGTTTGGTATTGTTGGGGGAGGGGGAGTAGTAAGATGCTATATTGGGAATAATAATTGCTATTTACTGAACTTCCATTTTAATGATTAATAATATTTTCATGTGTTACTGATTAAAAAATATTTGTTTTATAGAATAGAACAAATTGTTTTTCACATTAAAATGAAAAGTTGGGTGGCATTTGGTAATGTTCCAATGAAATGTTTCTGATGTTCTGGGAACAAAAAAACAAAACTGTTCTTTTGCTTCCAGGAATATTAGAAACATTCCGGCAGAGTATTAACAAATGTTGCTTAATCATCTAATTGGATATAGGTTATGCTGGTTCAGTTGAAGAAGTATTACCTTTTTCAAGGTGGACAACTGGAGGGTAGTGATAGAGACAAAACTAGATGCAGTATAATTCATGACTCTCATCCTAATGAATGTGATGCAAATCTGACACCCAAAGCCACTTTGGCATCATTGTGGAAAGCTATTCACTCCACTTTGGAGTCTAGACCCATTCATAAATTCATTAAATATAACCAGGGAAAGGTAGCTTCTTCAGATTCTGGGAGGACCATTGGTGATAGTCGCAACTGATGCAGGGATTCCCTGGGCTATATTCAGTTTATTAGGAATTTAGGGATGGGGAATCTTCATGAATCAGGAATAGGTGGTGCTTTCAGAGAAACCAACAGGAATATTCAGTTTTTTTTTTCAATTTTCAAAACTAAGATGGAAAAGACAATTCCATATAAGTAAAGCTACAAGGTGCACTTCAGGGATTGAAATTGAAAAATCAGGGAAGCAAGATATTGGCAATTGGGTTACGGAGTCTTAGACACCAAATCACTCTTCTGGGTTCCTGGGAGTGATCGTAGAGGGTGACTCAATGACTATTATATCATAGCTGAAAGGTGAAAGGGTTGGGCCATGGAGCTTTAGACACCCAATCAAGGAAGCAAGATATTAGCAGTTGGGCTAAGATGCATCTTTCTCATGGTACCTTGGTCACATTTGCTGACTCATTATCCCATGGAGGAACTAGCAGACACGTAGCACAGCAGTGTGGGGTGAATATCCTCTGCAGTAAGAACAATCTGCATTCGTACTTTGAGGGGCTCTACTAAGAGCAGCCAGGGAGTAGCATGGACTTGCTCAATGTGTAGTTTTGTACCATATACAGCATATATACACTATTGTGTAAATACACAATCTACAGTCAAATAGATGTAAATCAGTCCTCTAAAACTGATGTAAACTTGGAAAAATTAGAGAGAAAAGAGGAAGAAAAGAAGAGAACAGCAGCACAAAAGAAAGAAGATGGAGAAAAGAAGAGGAAGAAGAAGAAGAGTTCGAATATCTCTTCCCTCCCTTCTCAAATCCTTTTACTAAACTTCAATCTTAGCATAATTACAAGTATACCCTTAAGTGGGCGGCCAGCTAGGCAGTAACATACAGAGAACTAGCAAAAAAGAAATAACAGGCCCATTAGCCATTAGCTAACAGATGAATAAAAAAACATACTACAAGAAAAGATACTAGGGCCCATTCGGCCTAATCTCTTTACACCAATAATACTAATAAAGATTTTCAGTTACTTAAAAAAAAAAATACAGAAAGTGCTGGTCACAGTAATAGCTATGTTGTGACATCAGAACATTGGTTTTGGATTGGAATTTGATTCACAACGCTTTTGAGAACCATGAAATTTTTCCTGTTTGTTATAGTAGTTGTTTGGAGGATTATGAAGTTGTGGATAATGAAGTTACAGAGCTGACATATCTGCTTTTCTGTCATACTGTTCCCCTTATATATGTCATTGTAAAATGAGCAATAAATGTTTTATTTCTTATAAAAAAAACCCAACACCCATATTATTATTTCCAAAAAATCAATTGTGGAAAAGAATGTAATATACATCTGCAAATGGGTTCGATTATTCAATTGAAACCTTGAACATTTCAAAAAGGGGATATAAAATCAAAATGACTAGTAAAATATTCTACGCAGTAGAGTAAGATGAGAAGAATCAGGTGTTTGATATTGAGTTACCATATATTTTTCATAAGCCATTCCAACAAGTTTGTCAAGTGCATTGATGTTGATTTCCCTGCATAGTAGCACAACTTTGCATTTAAATATGCATATAAAATGGACATAATAAAATATGGACATAGAGCCATTTTTTAAGTAGTACAAAATTAATAATATGATTTTTTATAAGTAAAATTTCATTAAAAACAAAAAAGGAGTAGTACAATCTGATGGGTGACAAGTCATCACCCGAATACAATACATCTGAAAATCAGAAAGAGTTTTCCACATTACAGATTTGAATACCCAGAACCTCCCCTAACTTACTCCTCAGGTCCTCCTTATCTAATTGCCTGAACTCTGGGAGAACCAAGACCCAGTCTGCCGCAGATCTGCTAACAGCAGCTATCAACCTATCCATACTGCAACCTCTGTCCTCGAAAGTTCTGCTCCTCTCCTTCCGTATGTTCCAGACTATAGCAAAAGGGATGCAGCTCCAAATCAGATTCACTTTCTTGCTCCCTCCCAGTTTAGGCCACAAACAAAGAAAAGATTTCTGCAGCTAAAACTGGGTGGAAACCATGGACCCTGAACATGGTAGTGAATAATCTCCACATGAAACTAGCAAACTTGCAGGTGATAAATAGGTGCCTGGCATTTTCCTCCTGCTCTTCGCATAGACAGCACCTGTTAGCCAAATAGAATCCTCTTGATTTCAGGTGATCCACTGTCAAGATGCTATCCATTGCCACCAACCATGCCAAAGCTTCAACTCTCAGGGGCACCGGGTTTCCCCAAATGCCTTTGATTTGTCCTGAGTCTGTGTTGGACCTGCTGAGTGCCAAATAGCATGATTTGACTGAAAAATTCCCATTCTTTCCATCCCTCTGTTGCCCTGAGATTTTCACTTTTTCCAGTTCTCCTAGCAGGGAGATACATTCTTCCACTTCTCTATCCAGCAGAGGCCTCCTAAATTTTGGGCCCCATACCAATTGGTCCCCCCTTCTTTATAACATTGATTGATGGATACCTCAGCCTCAGTCAGCTTATATAATCTTGGACATAATCACTCAGCTTGCCTATTCCACACCAATCGTCCTCCCAAAACCTTGTTCTTGATCCCTCCCCTACTGCAAAGCTTATTAGACTTCTGAACTCCCTGTTAAAACTCATAATCCCCTTCCACACACTCACTCTATATATATCCCTCACCTCTCTAGATTCCCAGCTGAACCTCACCACCCCGTACTTCCAACCAGCACCCTCCTCCACAATGGATTTTCCTCTTTCCCTAAACCATATCATACTATTAATAATATGATATGAATCGTGGAAATAAAGAACAAGGGACATATCTGAACGGATGAGATTCTGCTTTTGAAAAGATGGCATGCAATTAAATTCTTACCCAAAGCATGAACTAAAGAAAATCAGCTCACAAGAAAATGGGTCTAGCACATCCCCCTAATTTTTTTTTTTTTTTTTTTACTCTAAGCCTTATCTCAACTCTATGGGGTTGGCTACATGAATCCTATTTTGCCACTCCTTGTGGTTTAATGCCATATCTATTCATTCCATTGTTAAATTATAAGCACTTAAATCATTTCTTACCACTTTGACCTATGCCCTTTTTAGTCTGCCCTTAGCCCTTCTAACCCCTTCAACTTGTAACTAATTTTACCACGAGATATAAAATATATTACCTTTCTTGAGACTCTCTTGCCTCTGTGATAGACTTCTCCAGTTTACATAACAAGCTCCTCTTCTTAAGAACCTATGAACAAATGAGACCAAATGTGAGCCTGGTTCATCAAGAGTAGTCTATAGTTGTATTCAAGACAAACTGTCATATTGAGAGAAAGATCATTTTCTTGTTTAGGGTGCAACTTGGGTGCGTTGGGCTGGGTTTAAGGTCAACCTAGGTCCAGACCTAATACTTGAGCCTAAGGCCTGAGCCTAATAACAAGCCCAAGCTGGTCGGGAGAGAAATTCCAAGATCTCTGAATCAAATAGTTGACCACTCAACTAATTCAGGTTGGAAGAGAAATTTTTTTCTATAGTGCTAACAGCTTAAATTTGTCTTGAGCAGGCTTTTAGCCTTTTTTTTGGTACCCAAGCCCCCCTTTTTTGTATATCCTCTCTTGTATTTGCTCTCCCTCTTCTGAATATAATAGTCACCTTTTTATCAAAAAAAAATGTCAAGCCCAAACTTCCCAACCCAAACTAAAATCTGACACACTCAGGATGGGCTTGGGGTCCAGTCCCAGACAGACTCAGGTAGGTCAGTCGGGATAGGTATAGTCAGGCCAGCTTCATGTAGGGTCAAGTTTGAGCTAGGATCAGGCCAGGATTGAGTTACCCAACAGCTAGGGCCAGGCCAAGCCTGAAAAATGGAAAACCCTGGGGTTCCTAAGGACTGAAAATCCAATTCCAACTACAATTTCAGTTTGGGTCAGTCATGGCTCAAGTTGGGCCTGCCCAAGTTGCACCCTATTCTTGTTACTAGCATAGACTTACTGGAACTTAGATATCATATCCGTGATAGAAAGAGAACAAAAACAGAGGCATTTTCATAAGGACATGATAAATAAGTCTATGCATGCACTAGCAAATCAACATGCCTATGGTACATGCATGCGTAGCATATCAAGGCATAGTTCCATCTTGCACAAAGACAGAGAGAGCTGGAGACATGGGCAAATAACATAAACCAAATCCAGAAAAAGAAAGGGCAAAATTGTAGTTTTCCTTACTAAAGGAACTCTTGCACTGATGTGTTGGAACAATTGTCAAGGGTCCATTAACACACTGGTAACAACACAACTAATTGTATTTGTGTGCCACTACCAAGTCATGCTTGATGAACCAGATATTTTTATACAAATCAGCGTTACATGATTCCTGAACTATAATGTTGTTTTCAGTGAATAATAAGAGTAAATATCTAGTTAATGGAGGTATGAGAAACTTCTTGATTTGACATAAGAAGTCATTCATAATGATCAATTATAAATGACCTGTTCACAAAGCTTCTCCTTGAGTCTGCTAATTTCTCCACTGATTTCTTCATCTTCTCTCTGTGCCAAGTCAGGCTGAAAAGAAAGCGTGAGTTTTAGGCATGGGTTAAGGAGAAATGTAAACTCAGACCCCAAAAAAACGAGGACACATAATCTCAAGATAGTATGCAAGACATTCATTACAAAAAAAAGATAGGAAGCAAGACATGAAGTAAAATATTTGAAATGAAGCATCTCCAATCAAGAGATGCACTTTCAAGAGAAAAAAAAAAAAAGAAAGAAGAAAAATCACTTTGCATTTGTCAAGCTGCAACATTGAAGTAAACCAAAGGAAGTACATTTGTACAATCCATAATTTGCATCTAAGAGGAAAGATTTTCCAATTAGACAAGGAAGTATACTCTGGAAAACAGCATACCATCTACTTTGAACTTTTACAAAAGGTAACCTACCACTTGTTCTGGGAAAATCCCAATACTCTGAATCTCCAGGAGAACCCTTTCCTCTAAGGACATCTTATCATATTGAAACTCGGTGCAAGCCATCTTAGTAACCACTGCTTGGTCTGGCTGAAATCCATTTAGGGAACATCCAAAGTTCAAATTTGCCCCAGTATTTATATCTGTTACTAGATCATCATTTTCCAACTCATAATGTTCCATCCCATCAATGAGTCTCTGACAGGGAATTGTCCTATAGCCATTTGAAGCAGCTTGTCCAACTCTGAGGTGATTCAAACTGTTGGACTTCAATCCTGAATCCAGGTCAAAACCAGTTTTACAAATATCAAACTTCATGTCTTCATCTCCTTCAGACAAGTAATCTTCACACTCATCCACTGAAATTATAGCTGCAATAAGTGTTTGGGATAATGGCACTACATAATTAAACCTTGATCCTGGTACCAAATTCTCAGAGAAAAGGTCTACGGGTTTTGTTTTACTGGAAATTTCCACATTTCCATCACAATCATTCAACCCAGTTTCAACAAGCACAGTGTTGCAACTATCTCTGCAAACAGCATCTACCATTGGTGCTGATGAAGTTAAGCCAAAATTTCCCTGAAGGGAACAAAAAAACATCAAGTCATATCCATGAGAAAAGTGATCCATAAGAGTAAATGGCTCTCAGACTAAATCATATGAAACAGCCAACCAGTTTGACACCCAGTGGTAATGTTTTTCTAGGCCATAGCAATAATTTATCAAAACAAAAAAGGCCATAGCAATATGTTCATACCTCCAGAACAGGACCACTGCCACATATAAGTTGAATATTCTCCACAGATTCATCCACAAGACAGATCTGCTACATCATTTTCAGTACAAAGGAAAAACGTTAAGTGGGTAAAATAGACCTTATGGACTATATATGTGTATGCGTGTGCATGTGCACTGGCACATGCATGCGCAATAAAGGATTCCTGCAAAGGAAATAGTAAAATAAAAGGCAATTACCTGTTGCTTCAAATAGGCTATGTCTTCAGCTGAAACAAAACCAAAGAGTGGTTCTATTTGCCTCCAGAACAAGCCAGAACATGCATGAGCTGCAAAAACACTTGCATCAATTAGTCCATTGTAGACTTTTTTTTGTTTTTGAGAAAGAAACAAATAATATGGTTTAAGTCAGAATTATACCGGGATTAATAGCAGCTTTTGCAGCAGACAATAGCTCTTCATGACCATCATCTGGTTCTCCTAGGGAAGAAAATGAAACAATGCAAGTTATATAATTAAATGAGCAAATAAGCACAGTACTCTGTAGATTCCCAATTGCAAGGCAGCCATATACCAAGAAAATCTGGAGTCACACTACTTGCTGCATGTCTAGGACGCGTATAAGCCTTACGGTCAGATAGCTTCCTACTTGGTGGACGACCAGCTTTGCTGAGTAGAAGAAATAAATCCAGTAAGAAGTTAAGACTTAAGAGGACTTCAAGTGTTAACCAGAATGATAAAATAGATGTATTGCATAATGTAGGCTAAAACATTTCACCTTTCACCCTTATCTAAACCAAGTCTTGCACTTCTGAGCTGTTTTGCTGTAATAACATTGTTGATCTTCTGAACAGTTGTTGGCATTCCAGACCTTGTGGTAGTGAAACCACGTCCAGACCTTCCTGGTCTCCGAACACCATCTCCAAGATCTTCATCAGTAGACATTTTGTTCTTTCTCAAAGGCAATACTAGAGTGGCAACCTTTTGAATACTCTGTCCACCTTTCTCATCTATATCACCAGACTTCTTTCCTTTGTCTTTAGACTTGATTTCTGCAGCTCCTGACTCCTCACTTTCTGACAATGCAGCTGAAGAAAAATGGTCACTTTTTAATTTAACCTGCTGCAGAGCATTACTGGACAAGCGTCTTGGCAAGCCTGATCCATTTTCATTTCCTGCAACATGAGATACTGTATCTGAGGCCGGAGCTTCATCCTGGCTTAACATGGGAGGAACAAAATTTGTCCTTCTCGCCATACGGGATATCTTTTGTGGCCTTTGACCAGCCCATTGTGCCATTGGTGGTGATGAAGACCGTATTGATGGCATACGCTTGCGATTGTTAGTCCCAGCAATAGGCTGGACCTTGTTTGTGCATTGAGAAAGCTCCCAATCATCAGAAGGCCCTGCCCTATTAGCACTTGGAGATGATTTGGGTACTATTGATGAACTCGATCTTGGTGCCCGAGCAGATGCATTTATTTTTGTTGTTGAAGTAGTACTTGCTAAGCTAAAGGCATCTTCACGGCTATTTGGCCTGGATATTTTTTTATGAGAATTTTTATAAGTAAAGAATTGAATCATGAAAGAATGAGGAAAATGGAGTTTCATAAAAGAAAGAGAAGTTACAGAAGAGTTAACTACCTGCTGCAGAATATGAGATCTATATAAATAAAATTTTGTAACACAAAGAAAGGGAAAAAGAAATGAAGAATCGAAGGAAAGAGAAGCCTAGTTAAGGATATTTTTTCATACCTATTAACAGCCTTCAGATTGACACATTCCTTATCTGAACCAACAGGGCGATCTCTTCTATCACTAAGAACAGAGCCATTGTCTTGGTCAGTCCTAGGGGTGGAAAAGCGCATGCCAAGGCCATTTTGTTGAGATATCACATCTGCTTTTCCAACTCCAGAAGGGCCCGGTCTGTATTAAGGTGTTCACGTAAATAGAATACAACAAATAGGAGAAATTGAGAAGGCAGGTCACTCTAAAGAAAATAAGTTGGTAGTCAAAAAAAGAAAAAGAAAAAAACTCAGGAAATGAGATGCATAAATCAGATAAAACAAGGACCTAACTATCCACAGTAAGATGCATTTAGTAATAACCAGTATGGTTAAGGCAGCAAACTAATGCATGGGCAACATTGTTGCATGTAGGACAAAAATAAACAAATAAAGATGTGTTATATAATGTATAGATATAACTTTATGCAATTATTATGAAGTTACATGTTAATATGGACTATTAAACTAGAAATTAAATCATTAAATGCCAGGTTAATCCTGATTTTCAGAAAAAAGAAAATCACAAGATAACATCCCTGAACATACATAAAAATACAGGGATCAAGAGCCTTAATTTTTACTTTAATATACACTCTTTAATTTTTTATCTTCCCAAGTTACATACATAGATATCTACATATAAAAGGGGTAGGGGGTAATTAGTTCCCCACTAAAATGTTCCCATCCAATGCCACCTGCTTAGTTGGTTGCCTAGGTGATAGTCATCCAAAATTGCCTAGGCCTGGATATTTTGTTGTTGAAATGGTACTTGCTGAGACTTACTCCATTGACATTTAATGAAATGAAGATATTATTCAACAACCCAAGCAAGAAATTCCAACAATAGGATATGGTAAAAGCAAAGGCTCTGCTTAGAAGTCTTGAGTCTCTATAACAATTGACCTAGAAAGGTCACACATAAAACACAGACCAGTATCAGATGCCTGAGAAAGTCTCAACAAAACAAATTTGCATCCTATCACAACTAAACATTGTTTTAGCATCTAGAATGCCAGATACAGATATAACACAGACTACAAGAAACAGGAACATGACTCCATTTCCTAAGATCCTGGATGGGTACTGGTATCCTATTAGCACCAATGGAATATCCGGTGCTGTATCTGTTGAGGGAAATTTTCAAAATTCTATACTATATCTATTTGTTTTTTTATAGGTAATAGAAAATATTTCAAAATATAAACAGGAATGTACAGGAGATAATACAACCAGGGAGTGAGTACCCCTTAAAGCATGTGTAACAATTGAGTCCTATACAATCAGTCCCTACCCAACCCTTACCCTCAGGATCAGATTAATCTTTTCTCCTTAAAACAGTTGAGCCCAAAATACCTGCTCCCTTGCAACCCCTTGCCTTGCTAGAGAGTCTTCCATCCCATTAGCCACCCTTGGAACCCATTGAAAGAATACTGTCACTCCTCTCAGGTGCCATCTGATTTTCTTTACCAAGTCTCGGTAGATCCAAGCTGCCTTCTTGTCGTTCTTTAGCCAGCTTACTACTACTTGGGAATCTCCTTCTATTAAAAGCCTTCTGAAATTTATTTTTTTCTGCTAGTTGGACCCCAAACAGTACAGCAGACAATTCAGCCCTGGTTGAATATCCTTGGGCAATAGGGTCCAAAAATAGAGCTAAGATAGTCCCCTCTTTATCCCTGAAAACCCCTCCTATGCCTGAAGAGCCTGGGTTACTGAAGCAGGTCCCATCAAAATTGAGTTTTATGAAGCTTTCCAGTTGTGGCTCCCAGACCTGAACTATTCTATTCTTTCTTGTAGAGGACTAGGCCACTTCCCTCCAATTCCTTTTGATGTCATCAAAGGAAAATAGAGAGAACACTTCCAGGGACTTAACCCAATGGATCACCCTTAGAAGAAAATAGTCTAAAATTACCTCCAGATTTCTATCCTCATCTTTGAAGAGTTTTGCATTTCTTTCTTCCCAAACTATCCAACAATAGCAGCCCTAGTGCATCTCCATAAAATTCTGCCTAGAGTGTTGATTTTACCATGACAAACCTCCCAACAAAAAGCCTCTACTTTTAAAGGAATTGGTTTGCACCAAACCTCACTTACTGGAAAGGCAGACCCTAAAGACTCTTGATCAATCAGAGAACGGAAGAAGGAAGCACATGAGAAGGAGCCTTTAGGGTTCGGAATCCAAATTCTTTCATCTGGAATAGAAGGGGACACTGCAACTGAGTCAAGAATGAGCAGCAAAGCAGAGACTGATTCACATTCAGCTTCTCTTAGACCTCTTCTAAAACCCAAATTCCAAGACACTCATTTTTAAATAAAGACAGTGAATAAAGGGAGGGGAAAGCATCCATAAGAGTTGAGTCACCCACCCAAAGGTCCTCCCAAAACCGGATTTTAGACACTGAATAGGAATCATACCTGACTTGCTTGAGGAAACATGGAAGAATTGCATGAATTGCTTTCCAATAGGAGAGTAGCTCTGTTTGAAACTCCAGCATCCCAGCCGCTTTGCAACAGTCCATGAAGGCTAGCAATTACTTTGTGCAACAATTTCTCACTCTCCAATGGGAATCTCCACAACCATTTACCTAGAAGTGCTTGATTCTTGCAAATCACGTTTCCCACCCCTAGCCCACCTTTTTCCTTGCTCCTACACACTACTTCCCACTTTACCAGATGATCCCTCTTTCCTCTCCAGGTTCCCAAAGAAAGTTCCTCATTATCTTTTCCAGCTAGATGACCACTTTTTTGGGGATTTTAAAGACAGAGAGGTAGTACACCGGAAGGTTTGCTAGGTTGGACTTAATCAAAGTTAACCTACCACCTAGGAGATGTAGTTCTGCTTCCATGCAGCTAATCTTTTTTCAAACCTTTCTACCACCAGCGTCCAAAAGTTCACACTACTTGGATTTCCCCCCAAAGGAAAACCTAGGTACTTCAACGGCCATTCACTAGTATGACAACCTAGGGTCTCCATGATTGCTTCTACCTCCCCCTCATATAGATTTATCCCTGCTACACAGCTTTTCTCAAGATTGATCTTCAAGCTGGAAATCTTTTCAAAGAGGTTTAGCACCAATCTTAACCTTCTCACCTGTTGGAGATTAAAATCTTCGCAAAAAATCATTGTATCATCTGCAAACTGTAGATGAGAGACCACCACAGGATTCCTTCCCATTCTCCATCCCCTCAAAAGACCTTCCCGATCAGCTTTGGATATTAATCTACTGAGGACATCTGCAATTAAGGTGAACAGGAAGGGTGAAAGTGGATCACCTTGTCTTAGGCCTCTAGAAACTGGGAAAAAATCCCTAACCACCCGTTAACCAACACTGAGAAGTGATTTTTTAATAAGCAGTCGTTGATCTATTTACACCATTTTCCCCCAAATCCACATTTCTTTAATACCTCGAGTAGAAAAGCCCAGTCCACCAAGTCATAGGCCTTCTCCACATCCAATTTACATACAAATCCTTTACTTCCTTCTCTTCTCTTCTCCATTACACACTCATTGGCTATCAAGATCTGGTCCAAAATCTGCCTATCCTGCACAAATGTTCCTTGGTTAGGAGTAATGATAAAGGGAAGTACCTCTTTTAGTCTCAAGGATAAAACTTTGGCCACTATTGTATAGACACTTGTCACCAAACTAATTGGCCTGAAATCTCTAGGAGTTAGGGCATAAGATTTTTTTGGAATCAACACCAAGAATGTGGCATTAAGACCTCGGTTTATGACACCTCTATCAAAGAATTCTGAAAAAACCTCAAGTAGGTCATGCTTGATTATCTCCCAACAATCTTGATAAAAAGCTAGTGTAAATCCATCCAGCCCTGGAGATTTGCATCTATCCATGGAGAATACTGCCCTCTTGATTTCTTCCAATTCAAATCTCCTCCCCAAAACAACTCTGTTGTGTTCATCTAATGAGGGCCACTCTAATCCTTCCACTTCCAACCTACCTTTTGGAGCCTTCTTGAAGCATGATTTAAAGTGTTCAACAAAGATCATTGCTATCTCTTCTTGATTATATCTATTTGTTCGCAAAAGGTACCAACTAATCCCTCCTAGAACAGTGGCTAAGTAATGTTGTTTTCAAGTAATAGGTTAGGGATTCAAATCTTGTAGAGAGCGTTTTTGAGAATTTTCCAAAATTAACTGATTTGATGACCTGTCACCATGGCAACCACTGAACTGTAATAATGATTAAAATTTAAATTTTTTTATAAGTAAAATGGTTGTATATTAAAGATCAAAAAAAAAGTAAGCATTACAAGCATCCAACAGAGAGGCACGAGATGCTACCTCTCACTCAAACATTTTTTTTTATCAGAAACGATAACTTTCATTAGAGATAAATTAAACTGAAATACAGAATTCAACCCTTATTAGAAAAGGTTGATCCAATAAACATCAAACATTACAGCACTGCCCAATAAAGACTCTCCCTTACAGTCCCTTGTTTTGCTAGGGCGTCAGCAAAACCATTTGCTGATCTCCTTA